ATTAAGTTGATGTACACCAACATCCCTCCTCACAACTCCATCATACACTCAAGGAAGTTGAGTCTCAGGATACTTTTGATGTCATCAATTGTCTCTTCCTGCCCACCATCCCAAATTCTCTCTGATGTGTTTTTAACAAGCTGGGAGTCTCAGCTGCTCAAATCTCTTAAAGACCCTCCTTAGACTTGCATTGATGACATCTTCAGACTCTTTGAAGTCAACTATTCATTAGGTCATGCCTCCTTCGGGCATGGTGGGTCTCTCTGATCCTCTGAGACACAGAGGAAAAGGGAGAAGACTCAGGGAGGCCAGCCGTTTTCCACTTCTCAGAGTGAGCAGGAGTGCAGCCATCTGCAAGGCATGGTTTGCCTTTTCGTTTCTGAGTGATGTTCCAAGAGTGGGTTTTAATCTATAAAGCACCGCTCGGTGGAGGAGCAGACTGCTCTGAGAACCAATCACCTGACTCCATATTCAGAAGACTGGTGGTTAAGTTAGTCAGTCAAGAATATTTATTGAGCATGAGGCTGGAACAAGAGCTGAGGGAGACAGGACAGAGAGCATTGGCCTGGTTGTCCTCCAGCAGCTGGAAAACTAAGACGGACGCATTTCCACTGCCCTCCATTCTTAAGAATTAGTGCCATTTCCTGAGGGGGGGAGGTAATTTAGTGGCATATGAAGTATGTCACCAGGGCTATCTAAGTTAATTTCATTTGCGCATTCAGAATTTTCCAGTGTGAGTCATTTTCTAAAAGTTATAAATAATGGTTAGTCTTTGAAGGTGAATTTTAGAAACATGTAGAAAGCCTTCCAAAATGTTCTTTTTTACTACCCAATCTTGCCAACAGTCCTTATATCTTCTGCAGAAGTTTCTATTTTTTTTTATTTTTAAGAAGACTTTGCATTGACCTTTCTGTCAGTTTTTCAGTTTCTTTGTAATACCTAATGGGAATTTGTCCTGTATGGTGACTTACTCTCTGCTCTAATAAAAAACAATGGCCACCATATACAAAATAGTCATTAGCAAAGTATCATGGGAGAATGAGAGCAGGGGTAGAACTTAACATGCTGACCTGGATTAGAGTCAGCCTGCTGTGAAACTTGCTTCTTTGACCTTCAGACCTGTTTCGTATGGGTGAAATGGGGTAAAAATACTTCCCTCTCACAAGACACTGGTGAGGATCAAGTGAAAAACACATCTAGCACTGTGCCACCTCCTAATAGACTCTCGCCAATATTGGCTCTCTTTACCCCTCTGTTGGGTGGGTTAATTCATGGGTCTGTTTTCCTTCTAGTATCCAAACCTACATTATTAATATATTAGCCTGAAATTTTTTTATAATAAATTTTATTTTTATATTCCCCATACAATTGCAACCCCCCCATTCTGACCCCAATCCCTCCCCTCCCCACCCCCCATCCCCCATAGAGTGTCTCTGGTTCATAGTTGTTTGTTGATTTTGATATTTTCTTTCTTATAGTTATTCTTTTACCTGGTCCCTTAATTAAGTTTTCTAGATTCCTGCTATGAGTGAGACCATCCTGTATTTTTCTTTTTCTTTTTGGCTTATTTCGCTGAGCATGATCCCTTCCAGCGCCAGCCATGTTGCTGCAAATTGCATGTGTTTATCTTTTTTGAATGCTGAGTAATATTCCATGGTATATATGTACCACATCTTCTTGATCCAGTCATCTATTTTTGGGCATTTGGGTTGTTTCCAAAGCTTAGCTATTGTAAACAGTGCTGCTATAAACATAGGGGTGCAGGTGCTCTTTGAAATTGATGTTTCTGTGTCCTTTGGGTAAATACCTAGGAGTGGAATTGCTGGATCATATGGACCTGAAATTTAACAGGTACATAAGTTAGAGAAATATACTTTAAATGTTCAAGATTAAATGGTGGTATGCATTGGGTTATTTTTCCAACCTTGCTGTTCACTAACAGTAATTAGAAACAGGAAGAAATGAAAGATGTGTTTAAAAAATAAATAAATGAAATAAACGTATTAGCTATTCTTTATTCTAAGTGGTGAATAATTATTTCAATACTGTTGTCGATGCAGAATAATTTTATAAGTGCTGTATTTCCAAACAACAACAATAAACAGTAACAATAGCTATTTATCATCATTTATTACTTAGCCAGGCACAGGGTTAAGTGTTTTCGTACATGGGCTCACTCAGTTCTCAAAACAACACTGAGTTAGGTATTATTATCATTGATCATTTTACAGAAGGGGAAATTTACAAGAATGTTTAAGTAATTTTACTTATATGATACAAATGATAACATGCCTCTATGTCCGGCTCTGTTCATTCCAAGATTCTGAACTTAAACCACCAAATGATAGATGACTTTCCATTGTTGTTGTGTCAATTTTATCAGAACTTGTGTTAACGCACTTTGATCTCCATCTACGACTCTTAACAATTCTCAACATCTAAAATCCAAATAACTACCTGTCAGAGGAGTAAGAGCCTTCCTGGGGATCAGTTAGATGGTGGCCTCTATCCCTGCCTTTGCTACTTCCTAGCTGTCCTTCCTCACGACAGTGACGTCCCCCCAAGAGGCTACCTTTCACACCTATATATCTGCAATTGGGGTTCTTCCCCACTTCTTGGGGAAAGGGTGAGTAGTTAATAATATAGACCATCAGTAGTGGCCTCCAGCCAAAACCACCAGCAACATACCTATATGTTGAACAGGCGGAGCGTATTTTTCATCATAGTGAAAAAGAAGGATGCTATAGAGACTCCTAGGGCATTCAGTAAGAGTGTGAGAAAGAACAGAGTGCGCAGCATGAGTTCGCTCCCCAGCCAGGGAGCTATCCACATGGCGCAGCAGACCTCTCCTGGGCTTTGAATGGGTGGTTTGGAAGGATCTAAGGGGGCAAGAGTTCATCCTGGATTATCAAGTGCCAGAGTCCAGCTCCAGTGAACAGGGCTGAGAGAGGAATCCAATTGAGCCGTGGAAATTACCAAGAAATGACAGACACAAAATAGAGTTTGAGTGGGAGCCAGGGCACACAAGGCCTGTCATTCATGCTCAAGCACCCCAAGTGCCCGATGCAACTCATTTTTATTGATACAAACAGCCGACACCCCCTACCCCCCACATTTTAGGTTGGTTACTAGATGATGAAGTATTCTCTTAGCATTTGGCCTTGTCGGGGCACACATTCACCACCAAGGTTCTGCACCATCAGGTCATTCTGTTTCTTTTTCTAATCTAGTTTGTCCCCTAGACATAGCTTCACAGGCACAAGAAAGAACACCCCAATCTGTACACGGGCCAGTTCTCCGACCCAAGCTGATCAGTTTTTTAGCCATGACTTTGCTGTTTTCCTTGTCTCAGCACTTCATGCCTTAGGGGTCTCCAACAATCAAGGACAGTTTGATAATTGTCTATCTTTATACATCTCACCTAGAGTGGGACCAGACTAGAGCAAGACAAAGCTGTAATTGGTAAAGAAACAGAAGGTTATTCACATTAGCTGGAGGGAAGGGAGTGTGTGTGTCAGTGTGTGTGTGTGTTGGGGGTGGGGGCTGGCAGTTTGTGGTCTGCACGATGACTCTGTTTTTGTATCCGTGCTTAGAAAGAAATATGAAGGGGCCTGGTACGGTCTCATTTCATCATGCACCCTGAATGCAATTTTCCAATACTGATGATCTATGAAATGGATTGTGGTCACGTGATGTCACTGTGAGCTCCAGGTCAGCTCCTAACATCAAAGTCCAGTGGGCAGTCAGGCCAGCTCCTGCATATCAGGGATGCTTTTCTCTTCCTCAGAGCCAAAATGAGATATTGTAAGCCGAAGGGTCTTTCTCAGATGCAAAGCATTGTACAAGTGAAAGACTCAAAGGGAAAATCAAGAGTGCTACAGTTTCTGGTTGGCATTAAAATCAGAAAGTGTCTCCTTTCCACTTCTTTTGTTGTTGCTGAAGAAAGAATATTTAATGAGAAGCATTGTAGTCCCTTTATTCTAAATTCTGCATGTCATAAATATGATTTTTTTTTAAAAATCCAAAAACTGAGCCATAAAAAACTTATAGATACGGTATGACTTGCTTCAAAATTTTCATCTGCAAAGAATTCTCAAGCAAGAGTTGCATTTGTTTTCTCTGCGTGGAAGTTTTTCCATCTGTTTTTCCTAGAAGTAGTAATTTCATTAAAAATCTCAGTTGGGATATCGACGTAGCAGTCTGGATGAACATCTGAGGGCAGATCTAAACTACCTCAGGTCATTTTGCTTGTGTCAATTATTTTCTTTGAGACAAACAGCTCTTCTAAAATCCCTGTAGATAAGGCATAATGACTGCAAGTTCCCTTCCTCTCTATTCCCTTTCTTCTCTCATTCTCCAATTATACTACACGCACAATACATTTTTGTTTAATCAAAGTAATAGTGCTTCATAACATTCAGGTGTTCATTGCTGAGAGTCCACATGTGTATCTATCTACTACATTAAGGCTACCGCCAAGGGCCTCCCTGGTGGTGCAGGGCTTAAAGACAGCGCTATCAAGCAATTGGCAGCCACTGCAGCATGAGTTTGATCCCCAGCCAGGGAGCTACCCACATGGCGCAGCAGACCTCTCCTGCCTCGCCCGCTGCTCCCCTCAGCAGTGTATTTCAGTCGATCTGCCTGTTCTGCTCCCCACTCTGTCTCTGGTGAGACAGAGACAGGCCACACCTCTGGCCTGTACCCCAGTTCTTGTATGCATTAATAATAAATCTTTAAAAAAAAAGTTTACTGCTAAAAGTTCAAGTCCGTCCTTCACCATAAGGACGGGCCATTGTCCTTCACATCCTTCACCATTGTCCCTTTTTTGCAATGCGCCCACACTTCCACCCCCATTCCCTTCTGTTTCATCTTCTCATGAAAATTTGTGGTGACCTGGGTTATTCATTTCTCTAAGAGAACAAAACCAGTCCCGCCTGGAGATCTCGGCGAGAGTCAAAGCTCATGCTTATTCTTTCTTGCTTCGTTGTCTCTTCCTGTAGGTCGGACTCATCTCTGGCACAGTCTTTGTGATTCTTGGCTTGACTGTTCTAGCAGTGGGCTTTGTGGTGCCCCCCAAAATTGAAGCCTTTGGTGAAGCTGATTTTGTGGTGGTTGACACACATGCTGTCCAGTTCAACGGAGCCCTGGACATGTGCAAGCTGGCGGGGGCTGTTCTCTTCTGCATCGGGGGTACATCCATGGCAGGGTGTCTGCTGATGTCGGTGTTCGCCAAAAGCTACTCTAAAGAAGAGAAATTCCTTCAGCAAAAGTTCAAAGAGCGAATCGCAGACATCAAGGCCCAAACTCCACCCATTACAAAAGCTCCAGGCCCGGGAGAAACAAAGATCCCGGTCACTCTGTCCAAGGTACACAATGTCCAGCCCATCTCGACAACCTGAAATCCTTTCCACCTGAGACCTCCCCTAAGTTACACACATGGTTAGAATGGAGTGGCCAGTTTTTAAGATGACAGGGATTTGACCTTGACTTACCCCAGGGCCATGTGCTGCTGAGGGCAGCAGAGCCTGTGACCTCACACTTGCTCGGGGCAAGTGGAGGTGAGGGTTGAAGCCGTGTGTTAATTTGTGCACACCACCCAGCTCTTCGAGGGGTGCTTCTGGGTGCCCCCCAGAGCCCTCTGGAAAACCCCTCTCATCTATAGTGACTTTGTGTCCTTTTCCATGTTATTGGAAAGCGCCGAACCTTCTAGACCAGCCTCCCAATGGTCTGTTTTGTTTTCTAATATTGTTTTTTCTGACTTTCCTGTGTGGTGCTGCCTTCCTGTCTCAGTACGTGTGTGTTCATAGAAAAACTGAGTTCCCTGATTTTGACCCAAATGTTAGTCCAATCACCGTATCGAAACATGAGGTTCCTGAGATTGGATAGCTGCATTCTGCGCAAATCTCTTTGCTTTCTCCACTTTTGTTTGTACTTCAGAAGCTAAAACAGTCAACTTCAGAAACTTACATAAAAAATTAATATGAGTAGCGTCTACTTATGCAATGTCCACAAGCCAAGAAATCTGAGTTCCAATGACTAATAAGTGGTATGACCTTGGAGAAATCATTTAACCTCCTCGGTCTCAGATTCCTCAACTGCATCACAGAGGTCCTAGACTGTGATGCCCAAAACTTCTTTTTTTTTTTTTGCCACATGTCATCATGGCCCTCCACCCCAGGATATGTGCGGCAACTTTGTGGTTCTCACCACAGTGGGTTTGTTCAGACCTGAACTCCCAGAAAGTCACCAAGTCAGCAGCCTCCACGCTCCCTACCCTTAAGCATCTGACCCAGCAGTTTATACAATGCTAGCATATTTTTATAAAGACAAAAGTAAGCAATCCTCAAATAGGAAACCTCTGAGTAGATATTAACCTTACAAAGGGGTTTTCTTTCTCAAATATGACATTCCACTCTCGAGCAAGATGTTCATCTCATCCCTTTGCACTTTTATTTAATCTGTGGATTTTAATCACACCAAGGAAGAACAAAGGTGTGACCTTGGTATTCTCTCAGAATTTGTGCCACCTTCGAGTCCTGTCTTTTATTTTTTCCTCCTTCACTAGATAAATAAAATATGTGAACAAGCAAAACCGGAATCGCTTTGTCATTCCTTCAGTGTGGCTTTTTTTCTCTCCAACATGTAATTTTCCATTCTGAGGCTGAATAGGCTTTGATGTTCCTCTGGCTAAATGAGAGAGTAAATGAAGCAATTAGTGCTCTTTGTGCACACTGTTTATTTTGCACAGTCCAGCATGAAACACAGGGCAAATCAGTATCCTCACCAAGGATCACTGGCCAGATACAGGAGAAATTGTTCCAATTTCCTCAGGTTTTACCTTCCTGTAACAATGACATTTTAATCTTGCTTCATGAAGCCATCTACAAGCCCCCAAGCATCTGTTCAAGGCAACATCACTGGAAGCTTTCCATACTTGCTTCTGGCTTGTGTACCAATGAATCTTTGAGGATGACAGTTGACCTTAAACTTTGAGGATGACCGTTGACCTTAGAAGTCTGTGGAATGGGGCCTTCCTGGTGGCTAAGAAGCAACCGATGAAACCATCCGCAGCTTCTGCAGCATGAGTTCGATCCCCAGCCAGGGGGCTACCCACATGGTGCAGCAGACCTCTCCTGCCTCGCCCGCTGCTCCCCTCAGCAGTGTATTTCAGTCGATCTGCCTGTTCTGCTCCCCGCTCTGTCTCTGGTGAATCCTCTCACCACAACACCACCTCTGGCCTGTAACCTAGTTCTTGTATGAATAAATAAATCAGTCTTTAAAAAAAGACTGTAGAATGGAAAGTAGTGGCTGTGGGGCTGGAGAGCTTTTAGGTACAGGCATGCTAGCAACCATAAAAAAAATCCCTATTTCTCAAAACTGAAAGAAGCCCAGATGGACACAGAAGACGTTGGGTCTAAAAGAGATTTGTTGAACCCTGTATGTTCTGTCCTGCCCAGGCTTTATGGAAGTGGGTACTGTAAGGACCCTCCCAGCACCCCCACAAGAGGAAGTGAGGATATTGTAGGGAAGCAGAGGAAGGAAGTTGAATGATTTCAGGAAATACAGTCTGATCTTTGAATAGGAAGCAGTTCGTATGGAATCAGAAGACAGGGAGCAACAGACTAAAGATTTTAAAGGGATTTTCAGGTCTGATTGGGCAGACATCAGTGGTAGGGCAAACCAGAATGGTTTTAGAGCCTTGTTCTCAGCCTGTTTGTTGCATCTAACTGATCCTTCCCTTCAGTAGTGAAACTTTTAAGGCAAAGTAATAGGGCACACCTAGAGATGGGGAGGAAGATAGGGGGAAAGGATGTGACTGGAGGGCCTCCCCTGGTGGTGCAGCAGTTGAGCGCTGGGTTGCCAAGCTGCCCGCAGCCTCTGCAGCACCGGTTCGATCCCCGGCCACCGGCGAGGGTCCCACATGGCGCGCAGACCTCTCCTGCCGCCCGCTGCTCCCCTCAGCAGTGTACTTCGCCAGTCTGCCTGTTCTGCTCTGGCTCTGGTGAATTCTCTCACCCTCCCGCGCTTCTGACTGTACCCAGTGCTTGTATAAATAAATAAATAAATCTTTAAAAAAAAATGTGACTGAGACTGGAAAGTTAGAAATGTCTTCTGGCCAGGAGATCATGTGAGCATAGGCACACAGAGTGATCGAAACCTTAGATGGTAATGCTAGTGTGTGACCAAAGGTTATTAAGAAACCCCACATTATTCCTTCCAGCTCAGTGAAATAAGTCAGAAGGAAAAAGAAAAATATCAGATGATTTCGCTTATAGGAAGAATACAGGGGAACCAAATAAGACATCAGGGGAAAAAATAATAACAGTACAAGACACAACAAAGCTAAAATGGACAATTATAAACCAGAGACATCCTGCAGGGGAGGAGGAGGGAGAGGGATCAGAGGGAGGGAGGGAGGAGCCCAGGGGACTGAGGTGATGGTGCACAGGTGCATTGGGGAAGGAAATTCTATGGGGACTACACCTGGGGGGGAAGCAAGTATTGTTTAAAAATGAACAATGATGTAAAAAATAAATAATAAAAGTAAAAACAACACCCCAAATTATTAAGGGATGCACGTTCTAAAGGGATCCGTGTGCACAAAGGCAAAGGAAGCAGACCCTTAGCATGAGGATCTTTAATAGAATTAGTGTGCAAGAAAGAAAGGAAAAGAAAGGATACTTCTAATAAAACTCTTAAAATTACACATCTTCTCATGGGCAAATGCCCTGCCGAACAGAGTCTGCCTGAAGCAGGGCCCCTGAGACCCCAAAACTTGCTGCAAGTCTAAGGCACATTCTGATGGGGAACAGCAAGAAAGGGTTGTAAGGCAGGGCTGGCTTCATTTTATGTTTAGAAATTCATTTTATGTTTAGAAAATCATTCAATTCATTCATGTGATATGGACTATTATCATATGTGATACGGACTATTATCATATGCCCATTTTGCAGGGGAGGCAAAAAGAGGATAACTTATCAAGGAAAACCAGTAAGTGACACAACAGGAAACTGCTACAGCCTCTCCAGCTCCCACCCCAAGCCCTGCCCCCGCCCGGCTTTCTGGTTCAGACTTAATGTCTCCACCTGGACATAGCCAGAATTTTCTCCAAACACATTCCACCGCACTTATCTCTATTGTAGTAATTTGTTTACACAACTGATTCTTCCATTAGCAGTCAGACTATTAACTGCTTGGCTATAGGCAGCCTATCGTAATGAGTAATGAAAGCTCAGAAGCGAATACATAAAGGTTCTGGGCTCCTATCATAACATCATTGAAAACAATTTCGGTGTTTTCACTTAAACCCAGGCATTGTGCTGGCACTAAGGAAAGAAAAGAGATGATTAATAGGGGAACTAAATGTATGCACACATAGTATGTGTGTGTGTACACATGGGATGTGTGTGTACACATGGTGTGTGTGTACACACATGGTATGTATATGCACACACGAGCTTGAGTGCACTCACATGCAAGGAAGGAAAAAAGAGATTAAGACATTCACAGCAACAAGGATGGAGCTAGAAGGGATTATGCTCAGTGAAATAAATGAGAAGGAAATAGAAAAATATCAGATGCTTTCACTTATAAGAGGAACATAGGGGAACCAAATAAGGGATCGGGTAGGGAGGGGGAATAACAAGAAATTAAAAATAAAACTAAATTAACAGGCAACTATAAATCAGAGACATTCTGCAGGGGAGCGGGAGGGAGAGGGATCAAAAGAGGGGAGGGAAGGGCACAAGGTACAATGGTGATGATGCAGGGGTGAATGGTGGTGGGCATTCTATGGGGACTCCACCAATCTTCCGATGACTCTAGATGATATTGGTAAGAATTATGTTTCTGGTGCTGCACCTGAAAGTATGCATTGTACAAAAATGAACAATGATATAAAATAAATAAATAAATAATTATATTACAATTTACAAAGAGAGAGAATGGATACAGGTCTCCCAGAGGAAAGCTCTCTTCAATCTAGCATTTAGGAGACTGCTGCTGGGGGTCTAGTCTGATGGCCAGCTAGTCATTACCACAGCAAAAAGCAAAACCCTCCAGCCAGCAAGCCTGCTCACTGGCAAAGAGCTACCAAGCATGTTTCTGGGAGAGTCTAGTGGGGGAAAATTAATTGGACACGTTCTTGTAAAATCTTAGGGAACAAGAGTTAAAAAGAAACCAACAAGCTTTCAGAGAGAACCAGACAGCTACAAAATAATAGAAAAGACTGGAAAAAGAGAACAGCTGTTGAACTCAATGTGACAACATTCTTACTCATTTTTGCATTTACTTTATTTTTTTTTCACCTTATCAAGGTAACATTTACAACACTGTGGATGATTTAGGGGGAGAGGTTCACACTTCCTTGGTCTATGTCACCACATCAGTCCCACCATCC